TTCAGCCTGATGATATGCTAGCCGTGACCTGGATGTAAAGTTAAAAAGAAAAGTTATTTCGCCCTGCACTAGGGCCGCATCACAGCTAGCATGCGCTTAGCACGCGCGTTAACCTCCCTCACACGTTATCCCGTAAAATTGTCAAATGACACCCTTTCACAGTGATGTAAACATCTCGCCTTACTCTCTTACTCAGTTGACTTATTTAGAAACGCCAGCATGTCTCATATAACCTTCAAAATAAAGTCGTCTGTGTTTTGTAGCTTGCAAGCCCGAGGAAGTTTCCGACTGGTCGTTTGATGACAACTGTCTCTTCTGCTGCCTGCGAGTTGAGAAAGTCAAGGTGAGCCGGAGCTTGATTGTTGACATCGGACAGATTTTTTTTTCCCCGTCTTAAATAGTCGTCATCTCTACATAATTCTCAAAGGTGTTGGCTTCAACTTGATTATTCGAAGCTTACTGTAAAATTGACACATGAAACCAAAGCGTTTCTCATCTCTACATAATTCTCAAAGGTGTTGGCTTCAAATTGATTATTCGAAGCTTACTGTAAAATTGACACGTGAAACCAAAGCGTTTCACTAAACACGATACACACACACACACACACACACACACACACACGCACTCAGCAAAATGCTCAGCCAAACCATCTCATACCCATTAGCCAGCTAGCGCCATGCTAATGTATAATGCGAAAGGGAAATTAGCACAGTTGGCTCAATAACTGCAAACCGTCAAACGACTGCCACGTTAATAGTCATGAGCAGTAAAAACAAAAGTGCGCAACAATACTTAGATGAGCATTTTCTCTCAGCTCCGTCTGAACAACGGCGAATTGCCGGAGTTTGGTTGGGACTTTGGCGGATTACGCGTTACTCTCTCTGAACGGTGAACAAACGTGAACTCATGCAAAGACATTTCAACAAATGTGTGAATGTTCGTTCGGATTAGCACGTCGTCGTAAAACCGACGGTCGTAAATCGCTGCGGTTATCCCGCCTTCTTTTAACTGGGCATTCTGCACGTGGAGGGATGGGGGGGGGGGGCATCAGATGTGCTCGCTGAGCAATTGTTGAGCAAACTGTACATTGTTCTTGTCAAGATTGGCATTGTTGAACAATCAACAAACCTTTTACAATCATCTTTAGGACTCGGTCAGGGCTCCACTCGCACCCGTTGCTAAGCTACTTGACAGTGTATCTAGGCCCCCAAAGTAAGAGCATTCAGTTGCGTTCAGAATGAGCACCTTGACCAGACCTCCAAATTTGCTAGCTCGGTCATTTGCCGGGGCTCGCGGCGCTGTTTGTTTTTCCTTTGAGGCGCTTAAGGCAACTACAAAGGAAATAAGACGCTCCCCGTCCTCGTCGAGCGTCCCTTGTTCACTGACTTGGCCCTGCTCTGACCTCCCAGGTTAGCCATCTGCCTCCTAAAAATATACTCAAACAAACCCCCCATGCACTCTTTTGTCCTGCCCATCTGTCCCGCGAAGAAGCGTTGGGGATGACAAGAAGCACTGCCAGCATGTATGTGAACGTGCGTGCGTGCGTGCGCGCTCGTGTGTGTGTTAATGGCGCAAGACAAAGAGCAGATTCCAATTGAAGAATCAATAAATCTTGGCATGAAGCAAAATGCAAAAAAGACGATATCGAGCACCGGAATACAAGGGTGGTATTATATTTGTCCATCTCTCCGAGCATCGGCGAAGGCGCGTTTATTTATTTATTATATATATATTTTTTTTATGTTGATTTCCATTTTAATTTTACGATGCATGCAAATGCTGTTGGTTCAAAAAATGCCTGGACACAGCCTTTTTCCCTCATTCACACAAAATTACCATAACAGAAATGTGCAAAAAAGTCTCAAGAATCCATACCCAGCGTTTTTTTTTTTGGGGGGGGGTTATGAGGCTCTTACTTTGACGATCCAAGCGGCTATTTTAGACAGATGGGCAAATGCAAGCGCGCATCGTGATTAGCGGAGACTCAAATCGTGCGCCACTAATATTGCGACGCTTCTTCCTGCAGGATCACGGCGCCCACGACACAGTCGCCGGCGGCCAGCTGCTGTCGGAGGGCGAGGACGCCAAACGGGAACAGACTCGCCTCAGCCGGCTGGAGAAACAAGCGCAAGACTTCCTCAATGCTGTGTTTCACAGGAAAGGTACAATACACACCCCAACCCCCTCAGTCGGGAACACATGGATGAGTGTCTTTCCAGAAGCGCATCCAGCCACGTTAAATCGGGGAATTTGCTTCCTTCCTCTGGGAAATTAACCAGTATGAGGAGCGTGCACGCCCTGAAAATGACGACAGACTCACCCACATCGAATGTAATCATTTTTGCTCCCATATGGAGATGATTAATATTCGAATTTGTCATCTCTTTCAGTTGCTCCAAATTTTGTGTGTTGACCTAATAATCTGAATATGTTTGAATGTTGCACAAGTTCCATTCCAACACAGTCTTAACATATGACTGTTTATATGTTTGAATGTTGCACAAGTTCCATTCCAACACCGTCTTAACATATGACCCGATCATGTTTTGACGTTGACAAAATGTCAAAATGTAAAGCAAAATGAGGCATTTTAAAATGTCAGTATCTGTCATGTTTTTTTGGAAGTCTGTGGGGGTATCGAAAACGGAGGACTGGAATTAAATTTGACTTCACAAACGAACCCTCCGTAGCCATTGCGTCAACAACTTTGCAATGTTTTGAGCTCCTGCGTATCCGTACGCTGAGCAAAATTCACTGCAGCTCTGCCTACCTCTTAGCTTTGACGCGATAGCGTTTCACGCAGGGTAACTCGGCTGCGGCGTGAAACTGGCAGATCTTCCTCGCTGCCTAGTTGTGGGTGGCGTTGTGTCAAGAGGGCCAATTCAGAGACATTTTCAGAAATGGTTTCCAAAAGATGTTGTTGGTCGTTTAATTTCACATTTATTTGGTGCGTTTATAATCATGACATGACAGTGATGTGAACGTCATATGTTCTCTCAAAATAAATACATATAATAAGACATAGTATACAGTATACATTTAAATACTTTAGACATTGCCGTTCAGCAGCGGTCACTTAAAAACAGCATTTGTAATTGAGCAAAACTGTCTTTAAAAATATGCATTTAAAAAAGTATATCCGTCAGTTTTGGGTGTTTTGGGTAGGGTGACCCGATATCTTAAAACAAAGTCAAATAAAAAGGGGGCAAAGGATAAAACCCTGAGGGATGCTACTTTTTTTTTTTAACACAGATTAAACGCTTTGCCTGCAGGTAGTCGAAATTAATCGAAAGTAAAACCAAAGTAAAAGTGTTCGAAAGTGGGCCGCGGGAGCTGACCCACTTTCCTGAGCTGAACTCCTGACTCTTTTCGTGCATTTGCATGCCAGATTCACGAAATGAAACCAATTTGAACAAAAACTTTTTTTTTTTTTAGACGACGGGGCACACTTTGCCTTGTTGTTGACCAACCGAAGAATGAAAGTGACGCTGAAATGAAATGGACATGAAGGGTCAACGAGGTGCATGTCAAAAAGCAGGAAGTGCGCGTTGACAATTAACATCCACCGTCACCTCCTCGTAATGGAATTTGAATGGCAAAAGATAATGAAACAATCACGTTATGATTGATGAATCAGAGTGCCGCGTTTATAACGTGTCACGTTGTTTCCCCTCCTTCTTCTGAATAATACGGGACATTTTGGAAACAACATTTCTGCGTTGAAGAATGACGATGATTCATCATTCCGATGGGACTTTGTCGGTGTTGTTACGTGGCTTTTAATGCGCAAAGAAGCGGATTTATTTATTTGGCGGCCCCCCGGATGGCCGCCTGCTGTGCTGTTTGCACGCCAGCCTCCAAATAAATAAACGGATTAAAATAAATTTGATTAAACAAACCCCTGCGATTATTATTTTCATGTCCTTTAATACCATCCAGCAGATTGGACATTGCTTGTGTGCGTTTGGAAAGGGGATTCTGAAATTCACGAGACATGGGTGTGAAATTTAACACCCAACCTTGGTTCTGTGCAAAAGGCAAAGGCATATAAATGCCAGATTTTTAATTAGGGCGGCACCAATTTTGCCTCTCGTCTTTGTTGGAAAGAGATTGTTGACACAGTCGGCATCCTTCACATTCACGACCTTCACACTGGATGCTGCTCACTCAGTTTGTTTGTTATTTTTGTTGTTTTTGTTTTTTCTAAGACACAAAGACAAGGTGATAAATTCCCTATTTTCTATTACAGGTGCACCAAACCTGCAATATTCTCTGTGCGAAAGAGTTTTCGAGCAAGAACGCCCACCCCACGTCACAGTAGCCCCTTCCACTCTGTCATTGTCATTTGCTGCAAAATCCTGCCTTTGCTGGGTTCTGTGTGAAAGACACGATTGATAAAAGGCGGATCTCCAGTGCGGTATTTGCGGAGCATCTCTGTGTGAAACAGGCTACTGAATTTTCCTCAAGCAACCTGCCTCACAGTGGCCCTTTTACAGAAGGGAGGCCGTTTTGCTGTACGAAAGCGCAAAGGCAATGACCTGCCTTTGCTGGGTTGTGTGTAAAAGACACAAATTGATAAATGCCGGATCTGATCCACAAATCTCTGCCTGAAAGACATTTTTGAGGCCAGAAACCTCTTGACAGTTGCTGTGTGTCAGCGCGCACTAATGCTGCAGTAACCTGCTTTGACTGGGTTCTGTGTCAAAGGCGCTGGATGTGCCTTTTTTTTTAAATTGGCATTTTTACAGCATCTCTTCGTATAACAGGCGACAGATCTGAAAAAAACGTTGGAAATCCCAAATTGTGCAAAACAAAACGGAGTGTTTGTAAACAGAGAAATGGTGCATGGTAATCTGGTATCAAGGGCGGGATAAGAGGATCTCGCGAGCGATTTTGGGGATTATTTCAGCATCACACCAGGATTATTCCTGCGGGATGCGGCTCACGTTCCCAGCGTTGGTGATTAGGACTTTTTAGTTTTTCACTGCAAAAAAAAAAAAAAAACAACAACAACAACTCGAATTTAACCCAGATTAAATGTCTGCCATCAAGGAAAAAATATGCTTGTTCTTTGTCTGCCGGAAGATTTCTTCCCACAAGAGACGTCAGTCTGTCTTTTGTTTATTCAGCGAACGTTGCAAGTAAAAATTCTTTTTCTTATTTTAACGAGCTCCTCCGAGAGAATTTATCCGATTGTCTTCAAACATTGAAAATTGAGAGACAATTGTAACAGCCCAAGACTGAGAAAAATGTCTTCTGGAGTCATATGCTAAACGTATTTATTTTTTAAATTTGGTGGCTTTTCGTGGCCGTCATATTTTATCAAACTCCTCCTTGAGATTTTACCTGATCATTCTCACACTTTGTACGTCGTGTTTCAAGATATTTGAGATGAAAACATACCAAAGGTGGGGGGCGAAGCCTCATGAAACTTCATGAAACACATCAGGCCTGGCAAAACCTTTTCTACTTTAGAGGGTTGATTTTGAAATGATGTCCTGTTTTTTTTAGATTTTTTAATTTTTTAATATCCAGAAAATAATCGCCGGATTAATGCGCTATTGTAGCATATTGAATAAATCTGCTTGTTGCTCTCGCTCTTTCCACCCCTGCAGAGCTCCCAAGTTTGTCGGACCCCCACATTCCTCGAGTGGCTCGCGAGATCATGCAGCGAATGATCCGGCAGTTTGCCGCTGAATATACCTCAAAAAACACTCAGGACGCCCCCCCGCCTCCGCTGCCGCCCAACGGGGCCATGAAGGACCAAAGCCCGCCGCCCTGCTCTCTGCCGGCGCCGTGCTCGCCGCCCTCGTCCGCATCCTGCTCCTCGCCGTCGCCCTGCCTCAGCCCCCCCGACGCCGAGGGGGGCGCGACCGTCGCCGCCTCTGCACAGAACCCCGTCCTCAGCAAGCTGCTCATGGCCGACCAGGACGGCCCGCTGGACCTCACTGTCAAGAAGAACCCGGCCGAGACCGAGACCCCCGCCCAGCAAGGTGAGCTGCGCGCGCGCGCACAATCCCGCCGCGCAAAACCTCGTCGTTGTCAAAACGTATCTTGTTGGTAAAGCTGTTCGTTTTTGTCAGCTCACGTGGAGATCAGCGGCGGAACAGAATCTTAATGCAGGTGGCACAAGACTATTATAGTTGACGTAAAAACAAAAACAAAATGTGTTTTTTTTTTTTTACATTTTCATGAACAAAATAAAATGCACATGGGAGCGCTTTCAGAAAAAAAAAGGAACTGAAACGATATTATCATTTGACGTTCAAAAACTTGACGAGGATTCTTTGTTTCATTGATCACCTTTTAAAATGTTTTTAGTTTGGTATTAATTTAGAGAAGAAAGAAGGTTCCCACAGTCATTTGGGAATTTTTACTTCGTTACACCCCATTGACTTTTTTTCTGTCTTGCACTCACAAATACTCTGAGAATATTAAAAAACAAACAAAAAAAACCCAAAACAAAAAAAAACTAAAACAAATACCCAAACTAATAAAAAATAACACCAAGCCTTAAAAACAATCAGAAAAATCAATAAAAACTAATAAAACCAAGCCCTAAAAACAATCAGAAAAATCAATAAAAACTAACCAACTCGTTCTTAAAACAGATTCAAATTGACCACTTTCAAAGACCAAAATCAAAACAATAAAAAGGCACCGTAGCGAAAAATCCCAAACTGTGTGACACAAACTGATAAAAATTATTTAAGAAAATGAAAACGGAAAAAAAAAGATCCATGAATTAATCAAATTGCTTCTTTACCATTTTACTCGGATGCACCAATTTTGCAGTTTCTCTGGGTGAAACTCATGCCTCGTATCAAAAATGGTTTGTGGCCTGCAAATAAAATCAAGCCCTTAAATATCCTGTTAATCAAACTGACACCATGGAGGTTCGGGGGGGGGGGGGGGGGGGGGGGGGGCGCCGTGTGACCCAGCAGTGTGACCGCCGTCCGCCCTCGTTCAATTTGTAATTTGAAGAGCAGCTTTTAGGAAGCGGCTTAAGTGCTTCCTGCATTAAAAAAAGAAAAAAAAGGAAATATTTGCGGGCTTTGCCGTCCGCCCTCCCGCTGGCAGGAATGTTTGAATTAAACATCTTATCACATCATTGTTAATTCCCTATTAATGCTTGATTTTAATGCTAATAACGTTTTTACGTGTAATGTGAGCAGAGAATGCGCTGCTCGCATGATTTTTTTTCCCTATTCTTTTGTCAATTCATCTTCTCTTTTTTGTCATTGCCTTTTAATGCTCAAAGCTGAGCCTGAAGATTTGCATTGCACAGCATAGCGTAGCATAGCATAGCATTGCATAGCATAGCATAGCATAGCATAGCGGCAACGTGGCCCATTTAAGGGCTGGCCAGCTTGCGGCCTGCGGGTCAGTGGGGTCAGCTGCACTTGAGGGATTATTAAAGACAAACACACAAAGCAAAACAGCAACATAGAGACATCACAGCACTTCACACAAAAAGTTTAAAAAAAAAACAAATTGAAATTTTTATTTAGTTTTTAAAAAATCCATTTCAAAATGATTTTCATTCATGCATTTCATGCATTTCATGCATTTATTTTGAAATCACCATTTATTTTTGTATTCCACTTTTCTATTATTTTAAATGCGTAAATGTTTTATTTGTACTCATCTTTCTGGTATTTCATTTCATATCGTTTTTATTTTGCTAATACATTTTTTTTTTAAATGAAATCAATGTGATTGTTTTTTAATTCAACTTAATTGCATTCATTTGTTCACCTTTTGTATTTTTTTTTCTCCAAATTATGGATTGTTAGATTTTTTTTGTTTAATTCATATATTTCCAATTGTAAAACATAAAGACAAAGACTTTAATAATGAACTGTCATTGGAGCGTCATCACTGCTAATCGTAAAAGCCCTCAAGCGTAAGACGGTCTGCCAGAATGTACAAATTGTATTACTCATCATTGTACGTATTATGTATGATATGATATGATCAGTGGACGACATGCATTCCATTTGCACCATCTCCAGTTGTAGTTCGATTTGGTGCCGCCGCATTTCGCTGCTTGCATCTGGATCTTCCCCGCGCCGCCACTAAATGATGGTTCACGGCGTGCCGATTGGTTGATTGATTGATTGATTGACTGACCGATTGATTGAGTGCCTCTGGCTAACGCGCCAATTAAGAACTTGTCTCCGCTAACGAGGTGCCAACTGAATAGCCACCGCGCGGAAGTCGTCAGGGAGCTAAAAGCCAGCCAGCCGTCAGGCAAATGCGGCTTCGTAACTGTGGAAACACTCTCAGCCTCGCAGCACGATTGCAAAGTTGTTTTATGAACTTTGAAGGGGGGGAGGGGGGGCGGACACTCATCAAAAAAAAAAGTTATACTGCGTTCCCGTTAAATCAAATCACTCTCAGTTAAATGTCAATGAAAAAGTCAATTAGCATATTTGTGCCAGCCCGCGAGCTTGTCTTCATTTAACAATGTCAAACAATTACCGCAACGTACGATCTGCGTTTTTTTTTCCAATTAGCGTGCACCACCCCGCACTCGGTTTGATTCATTCCATTTACACTGCCAATGCAATCGATATGATTGACTCCGACGACGAAAAAAAAGAATCATATGAAAGACGGTTTATGTATCGACTCGGATTTGAGTCGCGCACTGACTAAACACTTTGACTTGCAGTCTTTTAAAAGAACAAATTCACAAAATGTGGCAGAAACATATCATGTAAACAAATGTCTGGCTTCACTTATCATGACACTTTATCAAAACAAAAAAAAAAATCAATAAAATGGACATAAAACCTACCGGCAGACCAGAATTGTGCATTTTGATTGAATGATTGATTTTAATTGCACTCCCTCACGATTCACCCCAACTTCAATACAGTATAATTCATTTCACTTATGATGTGATTCACTTTAGTTGCAACGCAAGCCATTTGAATCCAGTTGTGAGTGAAGCACTTCTATTTTTACGTTATCTGTGATACCCCACACAGTAAAATAAAAAAATCATAATAATCATTTGAATGTTGTGATTTGCAGTTGATTATATAGAAAGGTAGATTCAAGAAAATCTTGATTCTAATCGTAAATCGGATTTGTTTGTCTTTTGTTCAGATGGCGTTTTGGATCTTTCCACCAAAAAGAACCAGAATGACAAGCAGGGCTTCTCCTCACCGCATGGACTCAAAGGGTAACGCACACGCCTCACCTGTCCATCAAAACACACTCGCGATTCGGATTTGAAACCAGGTTTTGACTTTTACGGTTGGTGTCTCCGATTTTTGGTGCGAGCCTGTTTCGGGGTTTTTCGATGATGGCGTGGAGCCTGCCTTGGGGGTCTGAAGAAGAGCTCACGTTTCAAACCTTTCAAATTCGGGTGTCAGGCGGGGTGGAAAAGTTGTAATTGACAACACGCCGCTTGCGCCGGTGGCTCCGATGACGTAAGCGGGGCTGTAGGAAGATTTGCGGATGCTCGTGGACATGTCCAACATTCGCTGAATGCTAACGACTTGACTCAGGCCAGATCACTGACAGTTCCAATAGATTCATAAGAGGGTGAGAAACAAACACGGACACGAGCAGACGAGTCCAACGGAAGCTTACGACGTGACTCATCCCCAATCGCGATTGTACGTACCGGGTTGAGCATCCCTGATGTGCTCACTCGAAACGCACACGGAAATAGCAAACAAGTCGCGGTGCGTTCAGGGTCACTTGGAACACATCAACGAAGACCTTCCCTGATGTTTGTGTCTGCCTTTTGAAGGGGGCTTGTGCTGCTTCAAAAAATGCAGCAGCACAAGCTCTCAGAAGACGAGTCCAGATCCAGCCCGGGGGTCATCAGGGGTCTCCTGGTCCCAAAGAGCCCTGAAGGCCCCCTTAGGCCCCGAGCCCCAGTGGGACTCTCTAATGATTTGCTCATAAAATATTTACTCCTGGATGGATGGATCCCCCCTTCCCCATGCGCGCTCGCTCACTCAGCAGCTTGATTGCTTTTGTCTGAAACGGCAACATGACTGGACGCTACATGAGCCATACACTGAAATACGCTCCATTACCGGTTGAATAGCAACAACTACCACAATGTAACTAGCATACAAGTTTTGGAAATATGCTTTTTGCCATTCGCACAGATCCCAACTCGAGAGTACCAGCGGCTGTTTCCGTCCTCCCTCAATCTATCCCGGGTAGCTCACCACGTTTAGCTTTGTCCGGAGACTTGCGGTTGAGTAACTCCACTCGATTGTTCACCATAAAAATCAAACAATCTCTTCAACTCCAGGAAAACTAGAGCACTTTGAATTGACCGGGACCCCGTTTTGGAATATTGTCACCCATTTGATGTCATTTCAGACTAAATTGATTCCCTGGCTTGTTTTGATTTGATTTAAATTATTATTTTGTGTGTGATTTTTTTTCTTCTTTTTTTGGGGGGTGGGGGGTGGTTGGGTGTGTGTATTTGCTCTTGTCTTGCAAAACTTTAAAACCATTCAATAAAATATGGAGAAAAAAAACGTTATGGTACAAAAGGTGGATCGAAATTCATTCGAGAGTAGTGGACCCCTGCATAATTTTTTGTCCCAAATTTCTTGCATCATTTTTTTCCCGTTCTCTCCTTTTTTTAATGGAAAATGCATGTAGAATGTTTTTTAGAGTTTCACTTTTTTAAATTAATTTTTAATTCTCCCCCCTCTCCCTCACCAGCGCATTTCAATGAGCGGCAATTATCTGCGGATTTGCACAACTCGCGGGGGGGGAGAGGGAACGGGCCAGCCCGTCCACTGTAGAACGTTGATGATGACAATGCCCAGTAAATATCGTACTTTGGAGGTCATGTGCATCAAAGGGGAAGTCAACCCGCAAATTTTCTTGACAGTATGATGCGCTCTGCGCCTCCATTCGTCTAAACGCGGCATTCTGATTCATATTGCATTTGTGGAATAAGAGTTAAGCAGAAAAATCCGCCCGTTTTTTTTTTTGTTTTTTTTTTTCGCCAGCTCGCAGGGGTCGACCATATTGCCATTTTCTGTCCACTGAAAATGACCTCCCAGTTGCTCAGGACTCGGCTGAGGCCTATATTCATCAGAATGCCGTGTTTAGGCGCCTTTGGGCTACATAGAACTTATGATTGGAAAAGAAAAATGGGGGCGTTGACTTCCGTTTGTCGTAAAAGGTGCATTATACATTCAAGAATAGATATTCCAAGTATGTTCCTTGACATGGTACTTTCTAAGTAGAATTTCCAAAAAATGAGGCACATGTAAATAAAGGTTATCGACGTTCCATCTGATGATGACCACATTGTACATGAGGGGTGAGTGGACTCTTCTTCATGTCAGCTTCCTGATGACTCCATTGTGACGCTCGCCCCGTATTATTTTCCTGGAGGCCGAGCTCATGGGTCTTCCGGCCCTCACCGTTTGCTGCCAGCGTGGCCTTCCTCTCCCACATCTTCTTCTTCTTCTTTGTCTTCGTCCGCTCCTTCTTTCCGTTACTTCTTCTTCTCCTGCTGCTGCTGTTGCCATGGTGACCAGGCAGCACTTAAGGAGAAGCACTTTGCATCTTTCATCTTGCCGCAGACACATTTACATGCCGCCGCAGTGCTGTCTTGTTCATTTGACATCCAATTAAAAAAAGGGGGGGGGGCTGGGGGGGGGAAGCCTTCAAGAACGAAAAGCATTGGGACGGGAACGGCATTGATCGCTGATGCTTTTGAACTTTTAATAGGTGTTTGTGGACATTTCTCTTGGTGAACGTTTCAAGCAACTTTTTTCTGCAGAATATATTGTTAATACATTCATTCGTTCTGTTTTAGGTGTCTGTTTAGCTCCAGTTTGTATCTACTGCATGCGTCTCGGGTGGTCTGTGCCTTTCGGTGCAACTCAAAAGTAAAGAAAAAAAATGGACAACCTTAGTTTTCTGTTTTTTTTTTTAAATGGTCTTTGGCACGGTCCTTAACAGAGTCAGTGGGAGAAACAAGGGCATAACTCCGTCTCGACTGGTTTGTGACTCCGTTTGAGACCGAGTTCTAGAGTGGTTCCTGACATATTTTCAACTGGGTGTTCTTGGTTCTTGGTGTGGGCTGTGATTTTTTTTTTTTTTTTTTCCGAAGCAAAGTAGAAAGTCCTGATCTCAAACCGGAAGAGGTGTTGCTCAGTGTGTCTGAGCTCTGAGTGGTTGTTTTCCTCCACGCAGGCACCCCTTCAAGGTGGAGCGTTGCGCGCCAGATGCGGACGAGGATGACGGCGCGCCGCCACGAAGCTTTCAGGACGGCCTTCGAGACAACGTGATCAGCTCCTTTAAGCCGCCGCTAGCCCACTCGCTGCGCATCAAGGAGGAGTTGCTTAGCCAGAAGCACCGCCTCCTGGGCCAGCCCGCCGCGCTGTCATTGGCCAGCCTGGAGTCGGCCGGTCTCCTCAATCACGGTCAGTCGCACTCCCTGCTGGGCCAGAAGGGCTCCTCGTCCTTCTGGGGCAGCAAGGCCCACCTGGAGGGCCTGATGAAGTTGAAACAGGCCAGCGGGGCCCTGAGCGGGGCCCTGAGCGGGGCCCTCGGAGGCCTCAAAGACCTGCCTACCTTTCTGGAGAACCATCACAACCACCACGGCGCCTTCTCCTTCAAGAATTCTCTGCTTCACCACCACAATCAGGTCTCCAAGGCCCAGCATCACCACCACGACGCCAAACGGGACCACTCGCCCCCGGTCGACCTGAAGATCCCGCAGGTTCGAGGCATGGATATCTCTTGGGACTCCCCCGCCTCGGAGCTGTACGGTTTTGGCGGAATCGGGCCCGGCGCCGGCGGGGGACCGGGCGAGAACGCCTTGAGCCGCAAGCTGAGGGCAATCCTGCCCAAGCAGAATCGGCGGGGCGGCAGCTTGGGAAGCCTGCTGGACGGCGCGGCGGAGTACTGGGCCGCCGACTTGGAGCACTCCGCCTCCGGGCCGGCGTACTCCATCTCGGATGCCGAGGGGGACCCCAACTCCAAGCAGCCGCGGAAGAAGAGGGGCCGCTATCGGCAGTACAACAGCGAGATCCTGGAGGAGGCCATCGCCGTGGTCATGAGCGGCAAGATGAGCGTCTCCAAGGCGCAGAACATGTACGGGATCCCGCACAGCACGCTGGAGTACAAAGTCAAGGAGCGCATGGGCACGCTGAAGAACCCCCCAAAGAAGAAGCTCAAGCTGATGATGAAGATGGAGGCGGGCGGCCCCGAGTTCCCCGCCGACGCCGAAAACACGCCCGCCGTCACCCCGCGCGCCGACCGCGCCGCCGCTGCCCCCTCCCTCGGGCCCGCCGAGCTCAAGGCCGACGTCAAGGAAGAGATGGAACCCATCGAATGAAAGCAACCTTCGCCGGACTCCTCCGGAACCAACACGGGACTTTATGTGTGCCAATTTCCTTTGCGGTATCCGGGCCGAGCACAAACGCAGGGATGAAAACCGAGACGCGTTGTGGGAGACCAACCACGAATTGGAAGCTTTTTTTTTTTTTTATACCCGAGACAAAACGACGACAATTTCCTCAAGCATGCCGATAATCCCCAGTCGGGTTGCAAAGGGCTGGAAAATTTTCTGTTGAAGTTTCCGGTCGATTTCCACCAGAAGTTGGACTGGGCAATTTTGGAAATAGCCTTGCCATGGGAATTAACTGGGAATTGTGGGTAATTGTGTCACATTCAAACTGAAACAGAAATTTGGCGTCGACGTGAAGCAGGCGGCACCGCAAAATTGACAGCGCTCCTTGCCCGTAAGCAAAGGGCATGACACTACCTTTAATAACGGCATCTTATTCACGTGAGCGGCAGCAGATCCGAAGTTGTTCATTTTAATTTGGGATCAACCGAAGCGATGGCTCGTACCCGGAAAACCTTGTGAGGCGAGGCACCCCTCGCTCAGGCGCCTCTTGGACTGAGTCCGATTTCATTTCCCAAGTGAGAGCCCACTTCCGACATCAAGTCGCATTCACTCCCTCGGAGTCTTTCCAATTTTGAAAATTCACAGAAATTTGTCAGCCCGATGCCCGACACGGAAAACCTTGGAAAGCAAGACCCCTTGCCCGTATTTCTTCTGCGGACCCGGACCCCGACGGCTCACGGACGCAGTCTCTTGGGATCATTACAATTTGGGCAAAGAGACAAAAGGGGCCGGCAAGGGGTTAAAAATTGCAAAGTGACCATTTTAGTGTGCGTATGAATCAACGCCGTCAAGATTCCTCGTCAGGGTTGTGAATCGTAACCCGCCTGCCAGGTAGCCATGATGCTTTAACTGCAAGACCTTTTTTTTCTTTCCTGCCCGCGACGTCCCGCCGAGTTCCGTGCGGAGTGAGAAGACACACAAAAAGTCATTCAGGGATGCATGTTTGTGAGTTTTGTGACAAACTACTGACTGGTGAGATCATTTTGTTTCCTTCTTTTTTTTTTCTTGTTTTTTGGGGGGGGAGTTTTTTTTTTTTTTTTTTTTTTTTTTTGATTTTGCTTTCTTTTGCACTACACTTTGGGTCCGGCGCTTTGGCGGACCAGGTTACCTCGGCATTGTTGCCCCTCGCATCATGCACTTATTACGGTCCGTCTCACAAGCCGGGTCGGGGAGGGCCCGCCGACGCCGCTGCCTCAGGATCTGAATGCGGATCAGCCGCAGCGGCGCCGGCGCTACCTCATGGACCTCCGTCAGCGTCTGATCGTGAAAGGCCGGCGCAGTCTTCGGCCTTTCAGGACGGGCGTGAAGCTCGGCTGCTATCCACACGACGAGCCCCCGCTCCTATGCTAATGTCTTAGCGGGGCCTCGGCTAACCGCTAGCTAGATAGCCTGGGCTTAGCCAGGACATTTTGCTGATGTTTTTCTTTCCTCTTTTCCTTTTTCTCTTCTAATCAAGCTCAACTCACTGAGTTGCTCTACCATCCAATTTCTAGTTTTAAAGGCAGTTTACTACGACAATGTGCATTTATATGGGGTGCCGGGGAGGGGAGGGCGGGTAATATGCAGTGGGGTGGGGA